AAGAAAGGAAAACCTTTAGCCCCTGAGCTGCTCTGAAATGGTCATGGTTTCACTTCCTGGAAACATCATTCTCCCTCTGTCTTTCCCAAGAGTCTATGCAATTTATTTAATTTTGAGACTTAAACAATGGTTTTCAATGGAAACACACTACATGGTGAGATCTCTCTCTCTCTCTCTCTCTCTCTCTCTCTCTCACCTCCATTTTATCAGAGTGGATACAAATAGTTCAAAAATCAGGTAGCATAGAGAGTTGACAATGAGAATGATGGCCCCTGGTCACCCTCTCTCCTTTAACCCAGTCTCCAACACAACAGTGTTCAACCCTCATCTCCCATATCAGTCTCTGTCACTCTAAGTGCAGCTATGTGCGACTTTTGGAGAAACTTAATGAGAGAAAGACAAGAAAGAACGGAAGGAAGGAAAGAAGAAAAGAAGGAAGGAAGGAAGGAAGGAAGGAAGGAAGGAAGGAAGGAAGGAAGGAAGGAAGGAAACTGTAGAATACAGATAGACAAAGAACCAAGGGGCAAGCATTTGAACAGGAGGGGGATAAACAGAAAGGAAGATAATTCTGTCTGTCTGTCTATCTACTCACCCACCCACAGATCTTTTTGTCTATCTGGCTCCCCAAGGCTAAAGAAAGCAACGTTATTCCTGTTTGTCAACAGAGCGAAGATCCCCTAATAAGTCCAGGGTTCTCTTGGTTTTTGTTTGTTGTTTGCTTTTTGAACTTTCGTGAACCCTGTAAACACAAGCTTCACAGGCGTGTGCCAAGAGGCATTTCCAGTTTCCATTTTCATTTCGTTTAGTTCTTCTTTCTCCGTTGTTCTCTTTTGCACACCACAGAAAAGTGATCAGCAGTAAAACCTCCACACTTTGGGCCTAGATGTGAATCAAGTCACAGAGAGTAGACACTTCAGGGCCCAAGAGTAAATCCTGGGTGTATCGATGTGGACAAATCCCTAAAGCCACCCGGAATAACAAGTACAGGATAAATCATCTTGATGAGAGCTAGCCGAGCATATTGGTCTCCCCACCTCATATAACATTTTTGAGTGGAGGAGGACAAGCCAGCTCGCTTTCCTGCACCCTAATTCTGCCTTGTTTCTCTGCTACCTGCCTGGACACTTTTAAAAGCGTCAATCTGAAATGGCGCCACGTGAATATCCATGCCTGAGGCTCCACTGCCTGCACAATGACACGGGAAAGTGACTGTCATGTAACCAAGATGCCAGGACATGTCCAAGGACCCCTGCCTCCCTTAGTCTCCAACTTTCACAGCGCCCAGTCCATGGATGAAGAGCCTGGTCTCTCTCCAGCAGTTCCCTGGTACTAAAGGCCAATTCCTCCCCAGCTCCTTCCCTGCTTTCTCTTGCAGCCTGGCCTCTACTGTCCGCTCTGCCTGCTCACGTGTCCTGCCTGGCTTGGGAAGCCACTGGGCATATGTCATTCTCAGCCTCAAAGCAAAAACAGCTCTCACCTCAAGGGAGCTGAGAGAGTTTGTTTATTTTAGAGCCAAATATGAATGACCAGGGCCTAGGAAGGATGGTTCAGGCTACCTCCATTCCATGTTCCGATGTGTGCTAGTTTCGTGAAGTTTTTACACCAACGTGACAAAGAAAGTCATAAATCAAGACTTGGCAAAATATTTATTTTTATCATTTTTAAAATGATTTATTTATTTTTACGTATATGAGTGGTTTAACTGCATGTGTATCTGTGCACTAGGTGTGCACGGCGCTCTCAGAGGCCAGAAGAGGGTGTCAGATGCCCAGGAACTGGAGTTACACATGGTTGTGAGTCTCCATAAGGTTTCTGGGAGTGAAACCAGGATCTCTGGAAGGGCAGCCAGTGTTCTCAGCCACTGAGCCATCTCTCCAGCACCTATTTTCATCATTTTCAACTAGGATGTGTGTGTGTGTGTGTGTGTGTGTGTGTGTGTGTGTGTGTGTGTGTGTGCAGGTGCAGGGGCCAGAGGTGAAAGATACCCCCAGAGATTCTTGTGAGCTACTTGATGTAGGTGCTTGGAATTGAACTCAGGTCCTCCGGAAGAGCAACAAGTGCTCTTAGACACCAGGCCATCTCTCTCTAGTCTCAAATCAAGACATTTAAAAAACACACTGGTGAGTTAAAAAAAAATCATACAGATGGCCAGGTATTGTGGCCCACGTCTTCAATTCCAGCACTCAGGAGTCAGCAGCAAGATCTCTGAGTCTGAGAGCAATCTGATCTACAAGAGTGAGTTCCAGGACAGCCAGGGCTACACAGAGAAACCCTGTCTCAAACAAAAAAAACAAAAAAATCAGAGAGATGGGTTGCAACACCAGAAAAATCTTAGCTATCGACCTCAGACACTAGCTGAGAGCATTCTTAGCCTGTTGGGTGGTGGAAGCAGGGTTTCGACTAAGTTAATACAGTCTGTTGGTTGGAACGTTGGCTCCAGTCACAGGATGTTAGTTCCCAAGAAAGGCGGGCAAGGATGTCTCTTCGGGGGGCTGGCACAGGCCGAGATAAACTGTCTTTAGGCTCTGAAGCTGCATATGAACTTCCAGCCTCTCTACACCACTGGTGTTTTAGCCAGCCTTCCAGCCTGTGCAAACATGGGTTCTTTCCAGGGATTCTTGCTCAAAAGCGGCTTCCGGTGGCTTTTAGGACTAGCACATAACTCACCTATAAAAGCACTGGCCACTTTCCACTGTGGGGCTGACTAACTGTGGTGTGGCTGGCATGATCCTTGACCTAGCCCTCTGCTGCTAACCTAAGACTCTTCTCTAGGCCGTCTTGTTTGTTAAAACTGAAAATAGATTCTTTTCTCATTCCCGGTATCCAGTTATAGTTTCCCCTGCCTCTGCTCCTCCAGGCTCCGCCCTACCTCCCTCCACCCCGGATCCACTCCCATGAAACCACTAAGCTAATAGCTACAATATACGCACAGAGGACCTAGGGTAGACCCATGCAGGCTCTGTGATTGCTGCTCCAGTCTCTGTGAGCCCCTAGGAGCCCTGCTGAGTTGATTCAGAGGGCTGTGTTATCCTGGTGTCTTCCTTCCCCTCCAGTTTTTATGCACTTTCTACCTCCTCTCCACAGGTTTCCCTGAGCTCTGAGGGGAGGGGTTTGTTTTCGGGTTTTGTTGTTGTTTTGTTTTTGAGATAGGGTTTCTATGTGTAGCTTTGGCTGTCCTGGAACTCATTCTGTAGACCAGGATGGCCTCGAACTCACAGAGATACAAGTGCCTCTGTCTCCGGGTGCAGGGATTAAAGGTGTGCGCCACCACCACCTGAGAGGGGAGGGATTTGATGATGATCTCCAATCTAGACTCTGCATGTGTGACTGTGGGTCTCTGGACCCACTCCCATCTCCGCGGAGGAAGCCTCTCTGCTGATGACTGGATAAGGAACTGATCTCTAAGTATAGTGCACATCATGAGGAATCGTTTCTGTTTGTTTGTTTGGTTTTACCCTGGGTCTTTGAACTCTTCTCTAGTCAGTCTTTGGGCTGCCAAATCCCGGATATACTTCCATGAGCATTAAGTCAGCTGACTGTGTCTGCAGCTCGTACCACACCGTGCTCAAAGGGACTCGTGGCCTTGGTTTGTTTCACATTACCACAAAAGAGCAAACAACTTCTTTTGGAAAAAAAAAAAAGATTTATTTTGCCTTAAGGTCAACTGGAAGATTAGAGGTAAACTGGGAATTCCAAGATGACATGGAGAGGGTCTTTCACTTTTTCAGCTCTTGACTAGAAGAGGACCAGAGTGTACAGACTTCTGCCCTTTCAGATGAAATAGTGTTAACCATTTCATCAGAGTGGACCTTTCACGATCCAGATGTCTTTTACTGGGAGAGGGCTGTTTGTAGACACAGCTGTCCCTGAGCTTGAGGCCTCAGGCTCTGGAGCGCTGGGGTTACAGATGTGACTCAGCACACCCAGTTCTGAATGCCTCTTAAAAATCCTACCATCACCAGGATGGTGGTGAACACCTTTAATCCCAGCACTTGGGAGGCAGGGGCAGGCAGATCTCTTGTGAGTTTGAGGCCAGCCTGGTCTACAGAGATAGTTCCAGGACAGCCAGGACTGTTACACAGAGAAAGCCTGTCTCCATAAAACCAAAAAAAAAGAAAAGAAAAGAAAAGAAAAGAAAAGAAAAGAAAGGAAGGAAGAGAAAGAAAGAAGGAAGGAAGGAAGGAAGGAAGGAAGGAAGGAAGGAAAGGAAGGAAGGAAGGAAGGAAGGAAGGAAGAAAGAAAGAAAGAAAGAAAGAAAGAAAGAAAGAAAGAAAAGAAGTTCCACTATCCCGGGGGTTGGAGAAATGGCTCAGCTGTTAAAAGCACCAGCCACTCTTTCTGAGGTTCAGGGTTTGACTCCCAGCACCCACATGGCAGCTCACTGTCCAAAACTCCAATTCCAGAGGATCTGACACTCTTCTCTGGCTCCACGGACACCAGGAACACATGTGGTACACAGAGATACATATAACCAAAACACTCATACATACCAAATAATTAAAAAAAAAAAAAAAAAAAAAAAAAAAAAAAAAAAAACTCTCACCACTTCTCAATTCTGTGTCGTGGTAACCGAGGCCCAGCATGAGTTCCAGTGGAGCAAACCACATTCAAGTCATAGCACCCATCAGGCTGTTTTCCCCAAGCCCATCCTCACAACAAACCGCAACAAAATTCTCTTGTCTCCTGTCTTTGTGGCATAAAGAGCTGCAGCTGGGGACTGCTCGCAGGTGGTACATCTCCCCTCTGCTCTGTCTCGTGCCCTCTGTTTCTGGAGTGACTTACAGCTAAACCTCAAACCCCCATGAAGTAATTGGCACCATCAGTCCCCTGTGACAGGTGGTACTGTCACAACTCAGATGAGTGACTGGCCTGCGGCCTACTAAGGCGTTGTCTGTAAGGTTTGACTCTCCGGTTCCTCCGCTGATGTGTCAGGAAGCACGGAGGGTGACAGCGCCCCCTGCAGGCTTTCCCACTCATGCCTCCGTCTCTGTTCTCCTTAGGCTTCCGCAGCAATGAGTTGGTGGAGGGACAATTTCTGGATCCTCTTGGCTGTGGCCATTATCGTTGTCTCCTTGGTCCTGGGTCTCATCCTGTACTTTGTCTGCAGGAGGCAGTTTAGACAAGGTAACGATGGCCATCTTCCCTGGGCAGGTGGAGGTGGGGCAGGTGATGTCAATACAGCGGAGCTCGGATCCTCCTAGGCGTGCGAGGGCTAAGCTTAGACAGAGCATCACACACTTTGGTTGTGATTTCTAACCACGCCACTAACCTCTGTCCTGGGCCTCAGTTTCTCATCTGTGTAGTGAAGGGGGGTGGGTAGATTTATCTCCAAAGACCTTGTCAGAGGATTTGGGTAATAGCAGAGGCAGAGGCAGACAGAGTCTGTCTCCAGGCACTGGGGCAGGAACCCTGTTTCTGCCTGGCGCTGATGTCATCTTTTCTGTGGGGCTCAGAAGGGAACAAACAGAAGCCTATAGAAAGTCAACCATCTCGAGCATGCGTTAAGACACAGATGCAATCTGTGATGAACGTGTTTTGCCACCATGACTGCCTTCTCTAAGAGCTGTTTTCTGCTCATATCTCCAACTTGACCAGAAGTTTTTGGCCTCCTCAGACAAAGTGACTGCTTGGATGTTAACAGTAACTTTGGATTATCTGTAAGTGGGTTTTCCAGTTTGCTGTTTATCTCCTGAAACATGAACCCCAGTCAGTGGCATGGTCCCTTGAGATCCTAGTCCTTAAAAGAAATAAAATGTGGGCTAAACCAGGAGCGTGCCCAGGGATGGTATGCAGTGCACAGGGTGCCCTGGTGCACACGCCTCTCTAAGTGATCAGGGCCCTGTCCTGCAGGCAGCTGCTTAAGGACGCAAGGTTGCACAGTTAGAAGTGGGTCTTCCTACTTTACATGATATCATTAAACAAAAATCCCTCACAGGTATGCCCAGTCATATTGGGCATTTTAGTTAATCCCAGATGTAGTCAAGTTGATTAATAATAATACCATAACAGCCATCCACACACCCAGCACATCACAACCAAACTGTTCTTCCCTTCCTTAGTTCATTTCCTCCCAACCACTCCTGCCTATTCACAACCTACCTAGTGCCAATCAAGCCACGAAGCAATGCCGAAACAGCCCGTGTGGCTGTTGCCAGCCCTGGGTCACCACCCAGGCTCTGTGGCTTTATGGCCAGGGTCCAGATGCCAGCTCCGTCACTTCAAAGCTAGGTGTTCCTAAGTCTGTTAAACCTTGGCAGTTCCCTTCCACACATCCTGGATCTGCTGGTTTTTCCAAGGCCTTCAGAATGCTGAGGTCACAGCTTTCACCGATGTGCCCTGAGTGAATATGGCTTTCCCCGCTTAGGCAAGAAGTGGTCAATTGCCAAGCCCTGGAAACCTGATGGGAGAGACGAAGAGAAGATGTACGAGTAAGTGGGGGAGATCCCTGCTGTTCAGCTTAGGGAGCCGTCTGCTCACTGCCACCAGGGCCCTTCCACTATTGCTGCTGTGTCTGAAAGGCCCTTTCCTGTGGAGCTGGTGAGAAGGATTCTCCATCTGCGGCAGGAGGGAGGTCCGGGGCACTGTGGGTGCAGCGCCCCTCTGGCATTCGCTGCAGGAGACTCCCTGAGAGCAGCTATTCTGGCAGACGTTGCTGCTAGGCTTTGGGTTGCAGGCTCAGGAATATTTTCCTCACACAGATTGCAAGTGTGATCTCTGACAAAGTTGTCTGCAAGCACAGCATTCGCTTCCCCCTTTAAAGATTTATTTTTATGAGTATGTATGTCTATGTATGACATGTATGTCTATGCACCATGTGCGTGCCTGATGCCCAAAAAGGATGGCATCTGGAGTGATGGACAGCTGTAAGCCACCATGTGGGTGCTGGGAACAGAATCCTCCAGCTCCAAGCACCAGCTTTACTTCTTCTTGCGATGTGTTTGGCACTCTTTCAGTGTTGTTTGTGATGAAGTTAGGAGCAAGGATCCACAAGAGGGACTCATGGGACCCAGAAGTTGTCTCACTCACACAGTCTTTTGTTTGTTTGTTTGTTTGTTTGAGACAGGATTCTACTATGTATCTCTGGCTAACCTGGAACTCACTAAATAGACCAGGCCGGCCTCAAACTCACAGAGATCCATTTTCCTCAGCCTCCTGAGTGCTGGGATCAAAGGTATGCACCACCACACCCAGCACAGCTATGGTTTAATATAGTCAAAAATAGATAAACTTGGCAGAAGAAAAAAGCCAAATAAGATGTACTCTAGGAGGAACCAGACACAAGCCTCCAACTGTCCTTCCTGCTAGTCCTGAGGACAAATCTCAGCAGCTGTGTATGTAAATATGTGTGCCAACTCATGTGAAACATCACAGACCCGGGCAACTGATCACAGACCCGGGCTGCTCATCACAGACCAGGCAGCTCAGCTGAGCCTTGGTACACGGGGATTGTGATAGACAGCCCATGACTGACTTAAGCTATGCAGTCTCCATCCCCTCCTGGAGTCAAGGGTCCAGACAAACAGAAGCAGGCATCCCCCATAAATGATGAGCATAACCATCAGAAGTAGCCAAAGTTCCAGGTGCATAAACACATTAAACACAGTGGTTGTCAAAGCTGAGAGGTGATCACCCAGGACTCAGTCAATGGGTGACCTTTGCCTACGCAAAAGAAAAAAAACATGTAAACATGT